GCAGCTAAGACAGTGCTTTCAGTAGGTGCTCAAGAAACGTTTGATGAATGCTTGTTCTTCTCTTTTTATACCTGACTTTTCAATCTCTAGTTCACAAATATCCCACCCTGAGTTATACTATTTCACCCTGTAAAAAAATAATCTATTTTTAAGCACTCCAAACTGATTGTCTCAATGTGGCCTCAATTAAATGTGGCAAATGCATTTCATTCTTCTCTATGTCTCGTTTTCCAAAGGCTGTGGCCAATGCCACCTTACTAATTCCTAAATAGGAAATTTTTACTTTATATACCAGTGTACTGCCAAATCATGTTGCCCCCTACTCCACATTGCATCTTAAATATACCTTATTCTTGTATTCCTAATGATACAGATTTGTATAGCTCTGAAAAATGCATAGGCAGGATTATTTTAATCTTACGATTCACTAAATTTAGGAGCACCTTCGCAAATAATTCTTAATGTTGATGGCAAAATTATTTTCTCATCATTGTTTTGACCTATTCGTTGGTCTCTATAAAGCCTTTTCAATTCATTCAACTAACTGAATTGAGAGGTGGTAGTGACTAAGCACGTAGACCCTGGAACCAAACTGCTTGGGTGCAAATCCCATCTTACGGACCGAGCGACCTTGAATAAGTTCTTTCACTCACGGTTGCTACATCTCCCCTTATGCCACATGGGGATGCTCATAGTGCCTTCCTCATCAAGTTGTCACAAAGATTCAGATGATAACACAGTGCAGGCTATATGGTGACTGCTTGACAAATGGCAGCTACTGCCATTTCTATTATTAAGGTCCTGCCTTGATCCAAATCCTCCCAAAGACTAGAGCCATATTCCCGAACTGTAGTAATTACGTCACCACTGCTAGATCTCCCTAATACTACTTGGATCTACATCAGTTGGCCTGACACTGGGCACAACTTAGACAAAAGGTTGTGGTCCCTGCATCCACTGGATACTGCCTGGTGCTGACTGATGTGCTTTCTTGATGCTAATATCCCACCACCCTGAACCTGCTCCTGTTGTTTATTTCTGGGACATCCTCCAAATGCCTGCTGTCCCTCAGCCTTGTCTCTAGGTCCTGATAATTTTCCACTTGGTAGATTCCACTGTCTAATGAAACCCAAGGAGTAGAGCTTATTCAAATATTGAAATGGTGATCATTATGCTGCAGATATATTTATTTTATTCAATATTAATTAACACACAATCTATTTTATTCACCGTTGCCTTTAATATTACAAGTGTGCTTTTGGTTGAACTTCGTTCATTCCTAAATTGAAGGAATATGTTCCAACTATTTACTAGGTATAAGGTCCTATGTTGGGTACTGTAGAGTAATACAAGATGTTAAACAGCTATTATTCTAGGAGGGGCTTACAAACAAATTTTACAGGCCTCATATGCTCATAGGTGCCTGTGATAAGGATGATAAACATAACACTTCCATGTTTTTTTTATCTCACTGATATGGAGAAATTAAACTGCGCATCAACCATCTGTACTGTACATGAATGAACATACGAATTATGATACGGAAACAAAGATATATGGACTGATAACAGTAAGGGCAACATTTTGTTTAAAGTCTCGTAATGAGAAATTTCAGCAGTTGAACTTTTTTACTTTAATATACTAGTAAATATGCTATCACAAGTAGTCTATTTATCAGATAGACTATGAATGGTGGATATAAAAGACAGAAAACAAAGTCAGGGATTTAACACACTCAAAGTGTGCATAAATTCCCTCCATTGCACAAGTTTTAGATCTCTAAGTATGTTTATGAAATGACCTACTGACACAAGCACTGAGAACCAGACTCGACTGAAGTCTATCCAAGTCGGCAACGTGGCAGAAACTAAGACAGCATTCCAGACATCATAACCAGCTCCATCAAAAGCCCGTCTCCGTCCTCTCTCAAAAGCAGAGGAAGAACGGGAAGCAAACACTTTTCCCCTTGAAAGGAATCTCATGGGTGACGCCGCAGCCTGTTTCTATGGCAGTAAGTCTCCTTAGAAATCACCTGCCTGCGTTTTTAACTAGTGACTTTAGCTCTTATGTCAGAAAATATATTTTTCTTCACAACCTATACCCTAGGCCCATTGCCAGCCCTGATTAAAGTTGCAGTCTTTGAAGGGCTCAGCTGACTTTGGACATGTATAGAAGTCCAATGTTGTAAGTGCACAAAATACATTTTAGAAGGCATGGAAGAGAATTCAGATTTTTCACTCTTGGCTTTTAGAGCACATTTTTAAGTATATAAAAAGGAGTTGAATGTTTCTAATGATAAATTTATTAAATAGAGTATCCGACAAAACAGCACAAATAATGTGCATGTCTGTATATGTTCACCTAAAAAGGAAACTGATACTGAGAGCTGTGGGAAGTAACTAAAGGGGCTCTGTCTGTACACGGCTAGTAAGGAATGAGGTGATCACCAAAGACAGGAATTTTCAAAGGAACATATTGGTTTTCCTTTATCCTGATGGGTAACTTTAGTAAGTGTTAGCGGATGTACACAGTCCCGTCTTGGCTCTCCCAAAGAACACACCATTAACCACATCTTTGCTTCTGACATTTAAAGCTCTCAGACTCAAACTGAAATCAAAGGAAGATTCCCAAAAATTAAGGCAGTGTTTTGCTTAGAAATCACATCTTCACGCAACTCCCTGTGGATCTGTAGATATAGACTCTTCTAGAATATACTAAAGGAAAGGAAACGATAGATTTACAATTTATTATAACTAGAGAGTCTGCGAGTGAGAAACCAGCCTAGGTCCTCCCACCAAACGCACGCAGTTCAGGACATTCTGACTTACCCTTTGCCACCTCGACACAGTCGTGTGTTGCACAATGAGGTTCTGGTCAACAACGGACCGCACATACAATGGTGGTCCCGTAAGATTCGTACCTTGTGGCCTAGGTGTGCAGCAGGCTAGATTTGTGTAAGTACACTCTATGATGTTCACACAATGACAAAATCGCCTAATGACACATTTCTCAGAGCATATCCTCGTCGTTAAGCGACGCATGACCGTACTGATCTCTGGAAAAGACTGAGGCTTCAAAGAATCACAACTATGTGGTGCTCACATTTGCCATTCTGTCCACCGGGCAGTTTCTTCCATTTAAATTTCTAAGCCTTCAGTATTTCTCTGAAATTCCATAAGTAAAACCAGAATGCTGAGAGAAGGGAACAAAAAATTAGTAAAAGAGTAGTCTCCTTCTGAACTAATTTCTAAATGATCTAAACATTTCTCATCCTCAATGGTATCAGGAGCTCAGCGAAGTCTTAAAAGCATTAGCAAGTATGCTTTTATTATGTAATATATGCAACATAAATATTATTTGATAATAAAATTTATTTTACTTTTATTCCATCTGTTTTAAAAGGCCCTAGTATCTTGGCCCCTAGGCATATAAATAAATAAAGAACCAGGAGGCCTCAATGCCCTCAGAATTCCTGGGACTGATGTTAAGGGAAAGAGATTTCAGAACCCAAAATGGGGTTCTCAGCACCCAATCATTTGGGCCTAAAATTTACTTAATAACCTTATCTCTATTCACTTTATAATTTTGATAACCCTTTATATAATATTAGGTATATATGGCATGACTACAAAATAGTACATTTGATTAATGTCCACAGAACAAGTTTAGATTGAAGACGAGACCATCAGTCCTACTCAAAGTCACATTAGATACTATATCCACTCTTAGGAGGAAGGAAATGTAGCAACCTATTTATTGTAAATGTCAGGAAATTATTTCTCTCTGGATGAAATGGGATTTATACGTCTGAAGCGTGTATCAGAGAAGAGATGAAGTAAGTGAGACTGTGGAGAGGGAAAGTGTTTCTGTAATGTGTTGGAATGAGTCCACACAACTGTATTGCTCATATTCTTGCCTTTACAGGCATAACTGCAGCTGAACAGTCATTAGGAACTGTGTGGTGGTTGATCTCCAACGACATTACTCACCTTCAGGTCCCGATGGACTACGCCCATCTGATGGCAGTGTAGCACAGCCTCCAGGATCTGCTGAATGCAATGACTGCATGCAAACACCAGGGGGCGTGTGTTAGTTCCAAGCTTACACTCACTGTCTGTATACCCTCAGAGAGACTGGGTTAAAGTGCAAAACCAACAGACAACTGGGGTCGTATTTTACCACCTTCAGTAACGTAAACATATTGCTCAAGCAGAGTGACTACTACCTCAGAACAATCAGGATCTTGCCAGATGTGAGCCAAATGTGATCCACTTGTTCTAGAAAAATCCATCTTAAAAATATTTCACTTAATGCAGGAGCTCATTTCCTGGTTATAAATTCTTACAGGAAATGAACTGGAACACAAATATAATCTCTATAGTTGTGCTCCGCCTCCACCCTACACACAAAAGCTGTTTCCCTCTGCTCTCCCACTTATCTCATATCATTCCAAAGCTGTCACGGTAGCAATCAAGGTGCCATTAAGCTTAAATTAGGATACGTAATGAATTTTTGATAAATCATTAACTTCTTGTGCTTTAATTTAGCTGGCAATTATTATCTCTTGCCTGAGGGTTCATCAGACTCAAGTGGAGCAATGTGTAGCCAGTTGTTCTGCTGCAGCAACCCACGGTCTCAGAACAGAAGTGGTGTTTAGATCTACAGGCGGACATACATCACAGGCCGACTTCATCTCCAGGCAAATGCTGGACGTTTCAGGAAAGCCTGCCCCCAAACCGCCGCTGGTGGGTTCCTGCTTGGAAACCTAACAGGTTGTGTTCTTAATACCATCCTTCTCTTTTTGCTATGATGTATATTTAGCCTGTAGATGAGCAAACTGAAAGAGGCGTCATGCATTACCATTTCGTCATTTAGTCATTTTAGGGAAAAATTGGGAAAGGCAAGGGAACCATTTTAAATACCCACCCTCTGCCCTTTCCCCAGAAAAAAATAACAAAAAAAACTCCTTTGATTCAGATTTATGGACTCCATATACTGACCTTCAGGTCCCTGTGAACTATGCCATTTAGGTGACAATGATTTACACTTTCTAGAATCTGCTGTATACAATGACTGTAAAGATACAAGGGCAGAATGGAAGGGAGAACATTTTAAAGGCACATAGTCACATTGAATACAAAATAAAATGAAAGTTCAAACGAAACAAACAAACAAACAAAAATTATATTTTTTCACAACATTTCTTTAGCTTTCCATTGGAATTAAATAATGCTGAATAAAGCTAATTCTGGTTCTAACAAAAAATGACATCCAACATAGAATTTGTGACATGTTCAGACAAAACAATTTGAGCTGTGTTTTTCATTGCAAGTGTACAAATTAAATCACTTTTATACAGAAGTCAAAATTTCCATATGCAGGCAGAGAAATTTATAAGTAATTCCCATAATGTTCTGGGAAAATTCGTCAAAGATATAAAATTCATGGACATTTCTCATACACATCTAAACTGTTTAAAATCTGAGGTCACAATTAAACATAGGTGTTGAAACAAGAGGGTAAACACAGATGAAGTGGCAGGTGAAACGGGTTAAAAAAACGGAAGGACACATTTATCATTTTGACTTAGCAATGGTGCTTCTCGCATAATATATGAAGAGGAGAACTATTGCAGGTCTCCAACAACACACGGAGAATTTACAGTGAGCCCATGACATGAAATAAACCCTTCTTTAGTACAGTATATACTCTAGGGCAGGCCTAGGTACTTCTAAAAAAAATAAATAAAAATTTAAAACCCCCTGAGGCACCAGCAATTGTTAAATACATTTCCATACACCTCAGTGAAGGAAAACTTTTGCTTATTACTATGTCAAAATGCACCATTTAGACTTTTCTTAGTAGAGGCTTACTGACGTCACGTAGACTGCTAATCATATTAGAGGGGGGAAATCATTGCTGGCACCTATAGGTCCCGAGAGCTGCCCCCTGACATGACAGTAATGTGGAACACATCACACGGATGAATTCTGTGCACGTTCACTGTGTGGTTCGAGAGCAGGTATGTAGAGAATTACGTTCATCCATTTAAGGATTAGGTAAACATTTTTATGAGGACATTTTCAACCATTTCATGCACAAAATATTACTCCAAAGTAAATTCTTAGATTAAAAAAATAATCACCATCTGATTTATTACAATGTAAATGTCAAAAAATTGATTATGACTGATTTTCTACCTCTAACTCAATTAAGAGTGCACTAAAAGCCTTACATTGGTTGTTATTGACTATATAGCTTATTTGAGTGTTGACAATTATTTTTTAAGTCATGTGACTCTTTTTTCCTTCTTCAATAATGTTCACTTTATACTCCTTTTTAGGAATTTCACCTTCTCTTCTCAAACCACAGAAGTTATTGGGCCTAGAAAATAAAGACGTAAATGATAGTTCATATTCAATGAACATCAGTTTGTTTCTAGTGAGAAGGGATTCAATTCTTAACTTCTTGAGGACTAGTAAGAAAACAGACTTTTGCAAATTATTTGCGGAATATGCTCTTTATTCTTGTAGTTGGGAAGAGAATGTTTCTTTCTCCTTGATTTTGTGTGGGACCTATCCTAAAAAATAACCCATAGTGAATTCCAAGACTTCACAGAAGCACGTGCATAAAATGACCCAACCCATCAGGTCCACTCTGTTATCTGCAGGGCTCTTCCATTGTGAAAACAGTCTCTATTCTAATTTCAACCAATATTTTTTCAAACATAATAATAACCTGTTTACTTAACTTTAAAAAAACAAAATAAATGATATTCCCTAACATGTTCACTACTTTGATTAAAACTGTAAGTCTCTCTTGGCAAGTGGGCAAATAGCTGCTTCCCAGAAGACTGCTCTGAAACCCCTTTTCAGAGGCCTAATGTGAGGATTTGGGATAAACTGAGCAAGTCATGATTTACTAATAGTGTAAGTGACACAGAACTTTCTATTTGACTTTGGCAGTAAAAATTCCATTAAAAAATTAGAATGCAGTCATGTACAGATAAGATTCACAGAATGTCATAAACGACGGTATTAAACCAAGAAGATTAATTAGAAATTTGGAAGTGAGCCTGTGGATGCAATGTGCATTTGGAGGGATGGGGAACCTCTGATCAGCTGCCTCTGCTGAGGGCCGGGCCACAGGGGAGCAAGCCTTGGGAAGCTCTGACAGCATTAGCGAGCGGGGGCGGGAGACGGGTAACTGAATTTTCATAACATTTCATTTACATCGCTAATAATGAGCCAATCACTCACGGCTAGGTTCTTCAAAATAAGCATCAACTACAGAATATATGGAATGCTGAGAGGAGTTAACACTAAACAGTCTAAGTCATATCTTAGCACGTAGATTACTGTTACATCACTCCAAAACCATTGCCTATGTGTAGCCTAGGAAGTTTCAAACTAGAGAAAATGTCAGCCATTTTTAACTTCTGTAAAGATTTTGCCAATTAACAAGATTGGGAAATCCTCTTGAACCCTCTGAAATATGTAAATAAATATTTTTAAAGTGAGAGTTCCCAGGGTTATAATGAAATTTCCAAAGAGTTGACAACTAATGCTTTAGAGACCACTGGGGCTTTTGTAGTCTGTTTCTTTCTATGGTCTCTGATTAGACAGACGTGGGCCCTTCAGTGGAGCTATCTGTGAAGATGGAGTAGCTCCATATCTGCTACGTCCAATCAGTAGCCACTGCCCACATGCGGTTATTACGCACTTGGAATGTGGCTGGTGCAACTGGGGAACTATACCTTTTATTTTATTTAATTTTAATTAATTAAAATTGAAATTAAAATAGCCATCTGTGACTAGGGGCTACCGTACTGCTCAGCCCAGGATCGAGAGCTAGAGGTCTCAATCTTTGATCTCTTAACTTGGCTAAAAAACATATTTCTTTAGCAGAACTCATTCCAGTTAGGCTTTTTTTAAAAAAAATAAATAAAATACGAGCTCTAATTATAGATGCTAGATAAAAATAGACTTTAGACCAGATTCATGGACTTTTTGTTTCAAAGAGACCAGATACATAGATTTTTTTTCTTTTCCAAAAAAATCATCTTGGAAATCCTTAAGAGGATCAATTAAGAGGAATTCCTCATGAGAAGAGGTCCAAGAGGGTATTCTGAGATTCTCATAAATACTAAGCATCATGATTCATTTGTAAAGAGATATATTGAACAAGTGTCACTGGAAAGCTGAGTCCTGTATCTTGCCCACGGCAAGTCACTTACCTGGCATCGGCTTCACTGTAATATTCTCTCGCCACTATGTCTTCAAACAGCTCACCTCCAGTAACTCTGTGAAGACAAACAAGATGTTCACATTAAAAAAGAAGAAATTAGGCATCAATAGATTTGTACCAGTGTTCACACAGAACTTTTGTTTTCAGATTATTTAAAAAATTATTGTCGGAAGTATTTTAAAACGTTACGAGCCATTAAAACAGTTTTCATGATGGTCAATATATATCCATCTAAACACTTCCATCTTCTCTGTCTTTGTGTCACTAGATCCTGAGGACACAATTTTCTGCATGTCATATTCAGTGATCTCTCTTACAGAACATAGTTTCTCTGAAACTTATTTCAATTCTCCAAATATTAACTGAGATCTAACGAAGTGCGTGGAAAAGTTTAGGAACATTTTCTGAACAAAAAGAGAAGACGATGCACATCGTGGCTATGGACTGTGATTTGCAGGCTGTATCTCTCAGAAGGGGCTTGTTTCTTAAACTGCAATGACCATGCCTTTATGGGCTAGAGGTGGCCTTCCAGAATATTACCACTTCTGGGCTGAGAGCTTGATTTCCTCTGTAAGGCCCCCCATTTCTTTTATGTTCCATGTATTTGCCAGTGAACAAAGACTTAGGGTTTCTGGCAGTGTCCTAGGAGGCACCAGTAGTCCTTTCCAATGGGAAGGAGGCATATGCGCCTGCTCTCTGGAAGTGAAGACTTTCCCCCAATGCAACTCAGCAACTGAACTTAGCGACTCCAGGAGTTCGCTCAAACCATGGTTTCAAGATTCTCAAAATAAGGAGATGTAACTATATTTGGGATTCCTTTTTTTCTCTAGGTCCAAAGATTACTGCTTTGGGGCTGGAATTCTCTGACCAGTGATTTCTTGGCTTAGGCATTTTTTTTTTTTCCTGTAAAAAAAGGTGATTTTAAATTTCAAAGTAATAATAGTTTTGTAGTAAAATTCAAAAACCATGGAAGTGTACCAAGTACTCCCCTATCCCTTAACCCCGATTCCACTCTCTGGAGTAAACAAATTTTAACTCCATGTGCATCCTTTTAACTTTTATGTGTCTTCAAACATCTACACTTTTCCCTTGTGAACACACACAAAGAAACATACTTTTCTCATAAAAGTGAAATTGTACAATACATATAAATTATTAGGCTGCGTTTCTCATTTGGCATGGGCACTGTTTCATGTCAGAAGCATTCCCCTATTTATAAAATAAGTAATAAAGAGAGACACGTGTGTTTGTGAACAAACACGCACACATATATATTTGCATATTTGAGAGTATTTACAGAAGATAAATTCTTAAAAGTAAAATTGGTGGGTCAAAGAGTATCCACATTTGGGTCTGGCCCTGTGGCCTGGTGGTTAAGTTTGGCACACTCCACTCTGGCAGGCTGGGTTCAGACCTACACCACTTGTCAGTGGCCGTGTTGTGGTGGCAACCCACATATAAAATAGAGGAATACTGGCAATGGATGTTAGCTCAGGGCGAATCTTCCTCAAGCAAAAAGAAGAATATTGGCAACAGATGTTAGCTCAGGGCAAGTCTTTCTCAGGAAGAAAAAGTATTCACATTTAAAATTTTGTTGGGAAGACAGGGCAAACTGCCTTTCAAAATGGTTTGTACCCCAACATTGTGAAGGTGCCCACAGCCCACATCATTACTAACAATGGTTGTTATCAATAAACAAAAACACTCATCTAATTTGAAAAAAGTTCTCATATTAATATGAATTTCTGGATTATTAGTGAAGTGAACCATTTTTTCATGTATTTATTAGCCATTTCTTCCTCTAGTGTGATCTGGCTTGATTTTAAAAGGAAATTTCAGCTTTGGAGTCTAACCCTGTAACAGTGAATATCTGCTGAGTGCTTCCCAGGTGCCACACAGTGAACTGAACATGATGTTCTCAGAAATCCTCACAATTACTCTCTGACATGCATTTTACGATTAGCCCAATTTACTGACTGGAAAATGGAGGTAAAGAGAAGTTAAGTAACTTGCCCAAGACTACACAGCCTTCCGTGGCACAGGTGGGCCATCCACTCCACAGGCCATGCTCTCAGTCACTACACAGTGCAACCTTTCCAATAATTACACTGTCAGACTTTCTAGAAGTTTAGGAGGCACGAGTCATTTGGAAAAGCATCAGAAGAAGGTATAAAGCTTGTGTGTACGTACATTACAGAGTGTGAGATAAAATTATTCTTACGATAGCTTTCTTTTTTGGTTCTTGTTTGCTTTTTTGCTTTAATAAGTTCTGAAATATCATCAAATGATAACATGTTCCAGAGATCACCAGTTATTATTCTCCTTTTCTACAGGAAAAGATGCGATACTAAAAACTGTAAATTTGTCTGAAAGTGTATGTAACTTTTCCTCTCTCCATTGCATTCTGGGTATTTATAAGTCCTTTAATGTTGAAGTCATTATTTTCACCCTTCTTCTTTTTACATATAAAACGTGCATCTAAAATTATCATTTGAAGCTTCATAGGGGCTTCTTCTGAAAACCATGGGTACATGTCCATGTCATTTCATTTAATAGCATAGCTAGGTGTTTTTTCTAATCAGGGTCTATAATAATAATGGAAAATCATACAATGTGCCCTAGATAAATTATAGTACAAAATAATTAAATATTAGATAGAAATTACTTCCAATAAATCCATTACTGTCTCTATGATGATGATAACAGTTTTGTGGGATTTCTTCCTTTGACTGTAACTGATGTAGATATGATATATATTCATATTTATTTTTGTTTTTGACCACAGGCTCCTAAAAAATCTGTATTACAAGCAATTGTGGATTGTTAAAGTGTTTAATAAATATTGATTAGAAAGCCTATTGTCGTTAATGAAACTGCTGCTGCTTATAGTAGCTCCTTAAATACACTGAATATCACATGAGAATTGTCAGATCCTAAACCACTGGGATCTTTGATACCTTGGCACCTAACCTAGCATCTGACACATAATATTTGCTTAATTGATGAGTGCTGAAGTAATGATTAAATGAATTATCCAAGTCAGAAAATCATGCTATCCATTTACTGTAAGTCTGGACCTTACATGCACTTAAAAAGAAAAAAGAAAACACTAAAATTTAGCCATACATGGCAATAGGTTTTATTTCGTAAGGGGTTTGTATTTGAAGAAGAATATTAAAGCCAGAGGGCCTAGATTCTGATAATTTTCAGTGAACTACAACAGCTGTTATTAAAGTGCAGGGGTGCAGGGTTGTAGGTTGGGTTTTGGGTAATGCACGTAACTGTCTCTGACAACACTCTCTCTCATTTTCTAGCATTCATTCTTCTCATTATTTAAAAATATCCCTGTGCAAATGAAACATTTTATTGTCTCTGCAATATATATGATAAATATCTGGGAAGGAAAAAATGGAACTCTAATAGAACACACTGCCTTACAGAGAAACTATTGAATTTTCTAACTTTAACACATTTCTATACTCACATTATTGTTTAATGGACCACAAAATTAAGCAGTAGTTATTACAGATTTTTGACAATTTTTAGTGTGTTATGTGAAATTTCATACAAAGCCACAAATTAAATGTCTCATGAAAAAACAGATTACTTAATTAACTAGTAGAGATTTTGTGAATAAATTGATGTTAGAGTTCTGCTATGATATGAGGCATCTCAATTACATATTTGAAGCATTAATTACCACTTATGAATCTCTAGAACATTAGGGCCTACGGCGAAAAGAAAGATAATTTTAGGACCATGAAAAGATATGACTCCACATATCAAAAAGATAAATGTTTTTTCTGTCGTTATTGTTGTTTATAAGGATTTTGATTCATCCTGTGTTATCCAGCTGAATGAATTATTGTTTCTAGTGTATATATTTGTGGCTTCTATCAGAAATGGTTGAAAGTAGTTTCATCTTGAATAAACATTTATAAAATTTCATGAGGAATACAGCCTTGACTATCAGGCTAAGCAGCTGGTAGAGTCCAAGTCTGGGCTTTGGAAGAAAAAATGGTGCCACGTGAACCCAAGAACCAGCAGTGACTTTGAGATTAGAACCAGTGTGGAGGTGCTGGTGGGAAAACCAGGAATCTCAGGCTGGAAAACAGGAACCAACAGAGGACCCGGCTAACTCACAGCGAGGAGGTAATCTTGCCAAGGCAGGGCCAGAAATATTCCCTGGAAAAAGAGCAACCCCCCGCTGCTCTAAGTAGAAAGTTGAAGAACAAACCCGATGAGCAGAGGCTGCCAGACCTGAAATCCAAGGCTTGGAGCAGAGGCAGCAGGAGTCATGTTAGCAAAGAATCACCACGGTTAGATTTTTGTTTGTTTGTCGAAGACCACACCATATACTGCCTTGCATTTCGGTGACTAGTATGTCTTCTAGTGATCTCCTCCAGGGCACAAGCTATGATGGTGACGCATTCGTCTATGTCACCTGCATGGTGCCCAGAATCCTGCCTTCCATACTGTTGAACAATGACAACAACAGCAAATATCCGTTGAGTGCTTGTCACATGCCAAGCCCAAGCACTGTTCTGAGTCTCCATAGGTTGTAACACAACAACCTCATGAGGTCAGTACTAGTGCTTTTCCCATTTTACAGATGAGGAAACTGAAGTCATGGAGATAAACGACTTTTCTCAAGAACATACAGCACAAGAAAGAGACAGTTAGTTTATTCTCATCTGTGCGGACCTAAGAGCTGTCCCTTGGACACAATCTGGAGAGCAGGACAAGGGCAAGTGAAAGGTCTCTGGAGATCCCAAAGGGTCACACGGAAAGACTGGGAAGAACACTGACATAAAGCATTCCCACTTATAACCCCTGTAATCCTCAGATTAAAGTCAGACAGTCAGACGGCTGGCAAGGACTGGAGAGCAGTCCCTGGTCAGAGTGAAGCTCATCAGGGTTCATTAACAGTAGTAGTATGGGCTTTTTTGGCTGGACAATCCTTCACCATGTGGGATGGTCCCTTGCATGGCAAGACTGTCAGCACCAGGCCCCATACCAGGTGCCAGCAGCATTACTTTGTCAGTGTGGCAACCA